AGTGAACGAGAAAGTAGTCGAATCAGATAAGGTGGCTTGTCCATGCCTTATGTTCGACATATGATATCGCGATACAAAAGGATCATCAACCGGAATCATCACTGGCGTTCGTAAGATCACGATCAAACTCTATTCGAGATAGGTAGTCATAGTGTCTTGCTAGAGACCGCCTATGACTTGTATATCCGGAATAGAGATTTCGGGTTATACTGCTATATCGAATGAGCCTACAGGGTCACACACGCATTGAAGGACGAAATGCACGAGAAAAACGACCAAAAAACCAAGACGGAAGGGTCTGGAACGGACGGACCAGAAGTCCAGAACGGACTGATACACGCACCGGCTTCGGAGTTGTATAGAGATGGCCCAATTGCAATCACCGGCACTCGCGAAGGAGGCGCTCGAATTCACTCTTGGGAAATAGATGGAATCGAAGGGGAATTACGGGACGATGGCTCAATCACCGGCACTTCTATGAAGGCTCTCGAACTCAAGCCAAAGTCGAAACAAGGGTAAAAGATAGATAATATTCGGACAAACCGAAAAGAAAACTCGGACACACCGAAGCTCGTCGTCGGACACACCAACGGAAAGATAGTTTGGAGAAAATTCTCAACAAACAAAGTCTCAAGCATAAGCTCAAATTTCATTCACCAAAATCTGATCAAAATGATGTCTTACAACTCATATTTAAAGAGAAAACAAAGGCTCCAACAGCTAGTGCATTAAATGCACAAAACACATGCAAGACTACTCATAAATGTGCCTAGATTTTGAAAAATATAGTTGTTGGAACTTCTTAGAATTTATTGGGCTGGGCTTTTACTTTGATTTGGGCTTGAATTGGGCAGCTTATGGGCCTGCTTCGAAGTCATTGGGCCTAAGAGCTTTCGACCTTGATATGGAACACATTCCGGGTCAAGTCTTGGCCGAAAAACTGAAACGTTATTGTCATGATCCCGGACTCCGTGAAAACTTGAGTGACAGCCTTGGATAGCATGACGCGAAGCACTCGAGCTCTAGCATGAGTAAGAGGGGGCTCGGGTCTATGGCTTGCTCGGGGAGCCTTCGCGTTGTGCACGTCAAATCTCGTTCCCGCGGCTTCGAATGATCTTGTGACGTTATGATCATCCGGCAAGAGTCTTGACGCCTGATGGGTCAAGTCTTGAACATCTTCTAGAGCTCCTTCCGTTAAGCTCCCGTCCTCGTCCAAGTTGCTAGCTCCGATGTCCTCATCATTCCCTCCCCCTTGAGAAGGTTTTGTCCTCAAAACATGCTTACCTACATCAAACGGGTCCAAGTCAGCATCGTTAAATACGTAAGTCAAATTTTTCATACCTTGATTGCGGGTTTTGTCGAGATATTCGCCAAGTGTATGAAGATTTTGTTCTCGCGCTTCTCCTCGTTCAAAAGGTTCATCCTTCTTGATTGTCCTTGGGTTTAAGATGGTGTTACGCCTTGAGGCGTTCATGGTGCAATGGTAGACGCATTTGGCTCCTTGAGCGCTGATGAACCGTGGAGGCACACATGTGGGATTCGTCGGACTCTTCTCGTCGTCCATGCACGAAATCTGCAATGTAGTACCAATTCCTTGATCATAGACAAGAATAAAGAGTAAAACGATGTTACCGCGTAAGCTTCTCGTATCAAGGTGGGCAAGCTGCATATATTCGCTTAAGTCGTTGAATGGCCTCTTTGGGATTTGGCCGGTAGATGTCAAAACTTTCTTTGTAACAATCCCCACTTCCTTCACATTCAGAACCTGCGAACTTCGATAAACTTCTAGGGAAACAATTTTGTTAGTGTGCTCCTTGAAATGCTCGCAAGAATATTCCTTTTGAAACTTTGCCATTATTTCTTCATGTTCCCATATATTCTCAACCAAGTATGAATCATAAACAAGAATAAAAATAGGAATAAATTTACCGGTTTTTGCTCCAAGTTCTTGACTTATGATCCAAGTACGGTTGTTGGAGGTGTCATTTATCTTTGTCGATGGGTTGATCAGGATTTTTAAATCCTCATTTCGTGTAACCACTTCTAAAGCATCTATTCTGATGCCATGTAGCTCTTCATCGACATTGATCACACTTTTGAGTACTTCATTGAGCACGAGATCGGAATCCTTAATCGTTTCTTTTTCTTTGGTTACATGTTCGGTTACCGCTTTGGATGTAACATCGGATTCATCTTCAAGGTTCCTTACATCAGCCTTGTATGTCCCGCCATCCTTGATGAGATTCTTTCGTTGGTTGGGACAATGACATGCCACGTGACATTGGTTCCTACACATGTGATACATGCCCTCACGAGTTTGATTAGTACATGAGGAAAACGTTTCGTTACCTAGTGAGGTGACTCCTTTTAGAATCACGATGGTTTCCTCCTCTCGGGCATCAAGATCGGTCGCCTTGCCTTGGTCTTTGATTTTGACAAGGTTGTTGCGTGTAGGTGTTTGTGCTCGTATGCATTCATCCTTGGCATTTTGCCGCTCTTCATTCACATTTGCCAAACTTTTGGGTTTTGTTTCCCTCACAAAGCCAGGGTTCTCGACCATCATCAACCGGAATCATCACTGGTGTTCGTAAGATCACGAACAAACTCTATTCG